TTCATAAAATTCTGATAACTCTCAATTTAATGTTCGGAGTAAGATATAGTAGCTACTGACATATTTAATAAGACTGATATCCAAACAGAGCCACAATGAAACACTATATAAACACAGAATCATGAAAGCACATGTACTGTATGACAAGATTAATTAGCTTTCAGGATCAGTTGGTTAATTTGTATAGGCAGTGCTGTATAATCAATGAATTTCAATTATAGCAGACTCACACTTTTCAAAAACATGATGGAGTACATATTTAATTTTGTAGAAACTTATCAGTGTAGTGTTTAAACGATTTGAAGGCCAATAATTAAGCAAAATAACTTCTATATACAGAAGAGTGCTCATTGATATTAAAATATGATAGCATTATTTGGCGATTTATACCATTGTTTGTTGAGTACAGCAGATCAGAGAACTTTAGTAGACAGTTAACACATCAGTCAGCATAGCTAGCTAGTCTCAAGACTAAAATATCAACCTGGGACCTCCTGAATATGAAGCAAAAGTGCTAATCATGCAACTGTACTATTTGGTGATACTTTTTAATGTAAGTTAAGAATATGTGATTTTATAATAATACACTGTTTCAGCCACACAGTTCACACATTCTGCCCAGTTCCATCTCATTGTGGAAGTTTCCAAAAAAAATGTTCCACCTATTTTTCCTGTGTGCCCATAAATCCTCGTATGAAATAGGCAATCTGTCCTAGCTGTCCACCTCATTACACATTTCCTACCCTTAAAAGGTGGAGGTAAAGTTATTCCTGTAGCTAATTGTGAATCTAAGGAAGCATAAAGGAGCACAAAAGTAAAAAAAAATCATACACTTTTGACTAAAATACTAGATGGAGATGAGCTGTCAGATTTATCACGTTAAAGACGTTCACTGTTCCACAGCGAATATTACCAGACTTCAGCAGACCTTCAAGGAATGCAGAAAATATATGCAAGAAGTTTTGAAGGTGCTCTAATCACGCAGAAGCTTTCAGTAAATATGTGGTAGAACATAATTATACATATACGGTATTTTGAGTGTACAGATTAATATGCTCATTCATATTTTAAATTAATGTAACTTGGTTAATTACTTGTGCAAATATAAGCATATATATATAGAAACAAAAACTCGGTGGCTTGAGTCCGCAAGCGAACTATACCTACTGAGTGACCACAGCTTGTCTGTGAAGTTAGTGCCAATTTTGCGGATAGAGGGTGTCACATGGTCAGTGCAACGAATCCTTGCAGCTGTTAATCTCGGTTTTCTAGACTGGAGAATATATATGTATGTTATATATATTCAGTTTGAAGTATTTTATTTCAAAATAAATGCAGATTCCAAAAAGTATTTGTTGTATACCATAATGGCATCACTGCAGCATCTCACTATACCAGCACTCATGCCTATGACTAGCTACCACAATTTAGACAAAAGGCGTAAATTAGAAGCCTGAGTTAACTGTTTGGCCTTTAAGGTTGAAGTACTGTGCTGGTTTGGAAGTAAACTTCAAATACAGTAATTTTTCTTATATTGTTTTATGTTTCATAGTCTTTATTGATGGATCATCCTTCATACTGTATAAATTTTCTGCTCAGGTCTGTTTACCGATTCCTCTTGTCTTTAAAATAGAGTTAGTGTCCAGTATACTCAAGGGTGAAGGATAAAGGTACAATGTCCTAATGTTGTGAAAAGTATATAGGAGACAAAATCTAATGATAGCAGAAGTCATACATTTAAGACTATGTAGAACAATTACTAAAAAAAATTATACTGTATTTTATCATTTAAAATGTATTTAATTTTCAGTACATTTGTTCATTGAGAGAGATGCTCCAAAATGTTAGGTATCTGGTAACTCTGTATCATTGTAAAACATAGCCTGTCAAATACAGCTTTACATTTTGTGGGTTTATGATCTGACCATTCCCAAGGCAATTTATCATACTGCAAACTTCTTTGTTCCTGAGAGAAAGTAACAACATTTCACATGTAACAAGTAGGGCCATAGTCCCTTCTTCTCTAATCAGCTCACAACCATAACATCTCCTAAACAATTGCAGGAAAGGAGAATGATGCTAAAATGCAGAAACAAAACAACACACAAACAAAACAACTTCCAGAACTTTACAGTCATTACATTGTTCATAAAATCAGTAACAAATTATGATATATTATACAGTAACAATATACAGAAATAAACAATCTAATGACTAGAACATTTGTAACTAAGTGGATCATCCTGTAATATACAAAGAAAATAATACCTTAAAAAAGGAAACTGCAGGGGGGGAACTGATGTAAATACCAAACATAGTTTAAATCTGAGGAACTAAAAGAAGTGTACATTTTAGAATATGGTTATAATAAGGGGAAAGAAGAACTGAAAGTTTATGTAGCATCTGGAGAAAGAAGAATTCATTTTGCAGGTAGTGCAGATCTGACTGGAAAATTCTGTTTCCCTATTATTTGTATTGTTTATTATTTCATTATAAATAATGTTTCAGAATCACTATTACATTTTCAGATGGAACTATTGTGTATCCAGTATGTGCTAGAGAGTATAAAGTGCAAATGTTTTCAGAGAACTGAAAGAACACTCACTCAGTTCAACAGAATTAATGTGACTGAATAATGTGACTGTAGGAGGCTGCAGCAATGTAACTGTGAGCAGAATTCTGAACTCTGGAATAGCATGAATATGGAAAAGTTGAATGCATTTGATTCATCAGTCACTTTCTCAGACTCTAATGCAATTGTATTTTGCTTCTAGATTTCTTCACTTTTTCAAAGATGCAATCAAGTTTGCAACAATATTAGTGATTGTTCCATGGATTCATATATTAAGATTCATATTCTTGGACTCCAGGTAGGAATGTGTATTTAATTACAGTATCATCATCATCATCATCTTCACTGGCATGACAGCCCTTTGTGGCCTTCCTCAGGTTTGCTCACCATTCTTCTCCATTCGATGCTACATTCCTCCAGTTCTTTACACCCAAAATTCTTATGTCCTGCCACACAAATTCTTCCCATTTCAATCTTGGTCTTCTCACTTTCCTATTTCCTTCTGGTTTAGTATTAAGTATTTTCTTAATCATTCTATTCTTGCTGGTATGTATTATGTGTCCAGCCCGTTCAAGCCTTTTCACCTTTATAAATCCAATAATGTGTGGTTCATTAAATAGTCGGTATAGCTCATGGTTATACCTCTTCCTTCATATTCCATTTTCTTCCACTGGTCGAAAGATATATCTCAGAATCCTCCTTTCAAATATACTTAACAGCCTTTCATCTGATCTTGACAGTGGCCAGGTCTCGGAGGCATAAGATAGCACTGATCTTATAAGTACTTTATACATCATAGTTTTGGTTTTCCTGGGTGTTAGTTGGGATTTCAGGTGTTTCCTAAGGCCATGGAGACATTTATTTGCCGCAAGTACACGCTTTCTTATTTCATCACTGATGTAATTTTTACAGTTAACTTCTGATCCAAGGTAAGTAAAACTACATACAACCTCAAATTTTTATGAACCAATTTCCATATATGCAGGTCCACTAGCACAGTCTTTCTTGGTTACCGGCCTGTACTTTGTTTTATTTTGGTTAATTTGTAGATTCATATTTTTTGCTGCTCTTTCCAATTTAAGAAAAGCTTCTTTCATATATTTTTGTGTTCTACCAATTAATATCAATATCATCTGCAAATGCCAAAATTTGAACTGGCTTGTAGAATATAGTTCCCCTTGTGTTGATGTCTGCATCTCTAACTACCTTCTCTAATGCTATATTGAACAAAAGGCAGGCTAGGGAATCCTCTTGTCGAACTCTATTTCTAGTTATTATAGGGCTGGACAACATATTCTGAATCTTAATTTGGCATTGGGTCTTTCTCATAGTGGCTCTGACTAAGGTGATTAACTTCCATGGAATGTGCATCTCTTCCATTGCCAGAAGAAAACTATCTCTATCTATAGAGTCATAGGCTGATCAGAAGTGAATGAAAAGATGATGTGTTTCAATTTGGAATTCATTACACTTTTCAAGGACCTGGTGAATAGTGAAAATCTGATTGTTAGTTGATCTTCCTTGATGAAACCCACATTGGTAATCCCCAATTATGCCTTCCACAAAGGGAGAGAGTCTGTTAAATAGAATGTTGGAAAATATTTTATATGCTATGCACAACAGAATAATTCCTCTATAATTAGAGCATACCATGACATCGCCTTTCTTATGGATAGGGCATACAATACTTAGGTTCCATTCCTCTGGGATTATTTCAGTTATCCATATCTTAAGTATTAGCTGATGTAAGTGTTTTGCATATTCTGGGCCTGCAAATTTCACTAATTCTGCCGTGATGAGATCCATTCCTGGAGCTTTATTATTTTTCAATTTTTTAATAGCTTGTTCTACTTCTTTTGTGGTCAGCGCTGGCTCTTCACCCTCAAAATTTCCTCGATTCTGCTCTATGGTCATACCTTCCGCTTGTTCGGAGGCATTACTATATAATTCCTCAAAATATTGCGCCCATCTTTCCAATATTGCTTCATCGCTACTCAATATCATGCCTTCTTTATCTCTACATAAGTTTGTTCTAGGTTCTTAGTACTTCAACCTGTTCTAAATGGCATAAATAAATGTCTTGCAATAGAAAATTCCCATGGCTGTATCACTTGAAGTTGCAATGGATTAAAGGAGCTTGTAAGCTAGCCAGGCAGGAGCTGTGAGTAACTTACAATGTATTACCCCACTCCTTATCAGTATTTTCTTCAGATATAATACAGTTTCACACACACACACACACACACAAGAGCACATGCATGCATGCACACACAAACAAACAAACACACAATTATTTTACTTCATAGTGGCCAAGACTAAAAATTCAGACAGTATTTAAGATTTTCCTGATATGACATGTAACATATACTTATGTCATGAAATAATATGAGTTCAGTTTGTCTGTTCAAATTTACTGTGATGTTCAGTGTTATATCTCAGAAGTGAGTGATGAGCTTAGGACGAGAGAGAAAAAAAGGCTTATACATGTGCACGTGGGCAGTTTCCATTATTCAAAATATCTGGTGGTAGTAATAACAAATAGAATCCAAGAATGTGGAACAGGTGTCATTTTCTATTAGGATTTCAATGTTAAGACAACATTCAGCAACCTTCATTTCTTACCCCCTCTACCTATATGGCTTCAGACTTGCGTTATGCTTATTTAATTCAAAATATAATCAAAATCTTCTACACAAATGCAAAAAGGAAAATATTTCATGATCAAGATATATTGCAAAATGTAAGCTGTAGCCCTCTCTTCTCCCCTTTTCACAATGGACTAAAATCGGTTAAGCAATTGAGAAAGGATGTAAAATATTTCGTTACTTCAGAAAGAAAGTAATAAACTTCTAGTTTCACTGGACACAAAAATCATCACATTTGTATTTAATAACTCACTTCTGGGTTAGTGACATTTTATATGAACTAATTTTTGACAGAGCAGCTTTAACTGCTTATTAACTGTGGCTTTTTATGGTAATCAATGGTCTTCAAGCTCTCTTTTCCTTGGTGAGCCAGATTTTCAGTACATTACAAATAAATTTATTATACATCTACAAAAGTAGTGGAATTCCAGTTTCTACTTAACATCTCTCTTGGTTATACTATCATAAGCAAAAATTGTTATGGCACATGTTTCAGACAGAAATCTTACTGACATTATGACTAATTTCTGAGTGTTTTAATATCCTGGACATCATCCATCATCTAGGTTTTTCAATAAAAAGTTCAGTGTGACAAAAGTTGGTTCTTCAAATGTGACTGGTCCATTAGATAGAACTAGTCTGAAGTCACTGGTATAGGAAAGAACAGTAGTTTTATTTTCATTAGACATATTGACCAGCCCTAAACACCACCTGAAGATGAAATAGTGAAACATTGCATAATATAAAGCTTAGATGATGGATAAAGCCAAAGGTATTAAAACTAACTAATTTTATGACTGTTACATACCTCGACATCAACATATAATTCTAAAACTGCATTGCTGAATAAATACCAATAAAACAAATCAAATTATTACTTTCTTCTGATTGCTGAAAATGAATTCAAGAGCAAACATTCATGAGGTAATGATGTATGTAGTAGCTAAAAGTAAGAGGAGCTCTTATGAAAGCCTACAGAAACTGATATACAAAACACATTTACATATCTGAAGAATTAATATTGAAATTTGAAGATACAGACTTCTGTCATATTTTGTACAGGAAAGTCCAGATCTCAAAGAATTTTCATCCAGATTGCATGGTATTTATTTCCTCTTTTCCATATTGTTCTATGCTTGAAAGCATTTAACTTTACTGATATAGTTGTAAAATTTTAATCAAGTGACACTGTTCATGGATAAATATTTTCTGCATAGAATATTGTTTAACAAAGCAGTAACAGATAAGGCAAAATAAATATTACCTTTAGCTGAACACTATAATTTATTTCCTTCTCCACAAGTGAATGGTGTATTTCTTTTAATTTCAGTAATTAAAGAAGAATAAAGAGCTGTCATTTTTATTCTATTTTATTCCTCACATTTCGGTTTCTCATTTCTGGACTCAATAGGATATACATTTGATTTGTTGAGCAGTATACTGCATCAGAAAAATGAAATGGCGCATATTATGCTTTGCAATTAAGCTGTCCTTTGGATGTATCAATAAACAACATAATATGTAGCCAATCCTCCTCATGACTAACAGTTGACATATTCACTGCAAAAAAAAAATTAGAAATTAATATTTTTGAGATAACAGAATTAGGTCCTAGCCTTCCTGTGAAGTACCTAACCTTCAAATAACCCTATTGGTCATGAGAATTATCCTTTGGTTGTCTTACTGGATACCAGGTACCAGAAAAACATATTGTTATTATCAAAATTAGATCCTGGATGTTGAGTTCTTCATAGGTCTTCATAATACATCTTGGTATGATGTACTAATGATGGCTTGTCCTCCATTATAGTAGAATGTTTGAGGATGAACAATAAATAAAGGAATCTGAATATGACTATGAAAGTGCTGCAATATTTTTATATATGTGATAAAGTGGTCGTCTATAGAGAGCTCAGTCACTGCTTTCTAACACCAAAATTATGCATCATTCAAAATTGAACATTCAAATTACAGATGTCAGTAACAATATATATACTGTCCTTACTGTTGCTGTCATTATTATTTATATATTCTTCTAAAAATCATTTCCCTGTACTTTCTTCAGTGAAAATTCTCAATATAGCTCAGCTATATCTTCCTGCCACCATTGCCTTAATAAATATTGTAGTTTCTGTTATGCTAACACAATTCATTCACTTCTTAAATGCTGCTGGCTTGTCTTCATTTCACCACACTTCACATTTACTTTTTGGATTCATCTTTGATCCACTTGGACAGGAGAATTCTTGGGAAAATTCTGGTAGATTTGACAGTGGACCAATAACACGGAATCTAGCTGGTGAATGGGGGTCTTTCTCAATTTGCAAATTTGTTGCCTCATCTGTACTAGAGGAACACCATACCTATAAAACAAATTATAACAACTATTCTATAAAATCTTCCTTTCTCAAACAGTCTAGCACATTCTCGATTATGTTTTGATTCCAAGACTCATGCTGTGATATAAACATGTTTTATGATAACTGAGTGACATCCTTTGGAGGAGTCAGAAAATATTTAATTGGCTGTGATATCAAGAGTTTTTCAGCACTTACAGAGTTACATTAGTCAAGAAATTCCCCACCCCTTAAGAAAGCCAAAGGTTCATTACCTATTTCATTATATTCTACTTCTCAATAACATCCAAAGCTAGGTGGATCCAGCCCAAATCTTAACCCCCTTTTTCTTAAGGGGATATTTTAATATAATGCTTCTAACTATTCCTAGGTTTCCTAAGCTGTCCCTTCCCTTTATGCTTTCCAACTAAAATTTTATGTGTATTTTTCATCTCCTACATGCACATTACATGCCCCAAATGTCACAAACTCCATTGTTTGATTATCATAATAATATTTTAAAACTCGATATTAAATGTAAATCATTTCCATTAGAACATTTGCCTGCACACAGTGCTCATACATGCTCACCTGCATGTACATGTGCAACGATTTAATAGTGAGTATATTGCATTATACTTTTCTTCAGTTGAAGGAACACTGATGTAATCTAAAGCTGTGTTTAAACCAGTATTGCTGACTTTATCATACAGATTCAGGATTCATACAGTGATAAGTGACAGGGATGGTAATGGTATTTGTTAGTGGAGCCAGGTTGGCTCTGTGGTATAAGGGCCATGTTACAGAGTGGTTGACCTGGAAATTGCTCAATTTCTGGCAGAGGCAGATATTTTTCTGTTCTCCATGACATCCGGACCAGCTGTGGTGTCTACCCAGCCTACAATCCAATTATTTCTTGGAAGTAAAGCAGCTACAATATGAAGCTGACATCTCATTTTTATCTACTGCCAATGTAAAACGAGTGCAGCTATTCTTTCACTTGCCCATATGTTTTCAAGGATGTTTTTAATTAAACATAGGGACAACTTTATCTCTCTACAGAGTGATGGTTAATAATGCAAGGATTATCCCCGTATATAAACTTGCTTAGACAACAGACATAAAACTAGAGCTTGAAGAAACCAGATGTGACCAATGCTGTAAGTACTTAACCAATTCAGAAAATGTAGGTACATAAAAATTAATGAAATTTCTTATAACATATATTAAATTTAATTCTATTTGCCCATAGTCATAATAAGGACATTAACATGGTACAGTATTTCATTAAAATTATTTAGGTATTTTACTTACCTGTGCAAAACTAAGAAAGAACAGTTGTCTGTGAGTAAGATTCAGACCTGGAAGTGGCAATTCCTCATGATGTGCAGATGCCCACTTTAAATATGCATGATATGCTGCCTTCAAACCTCCATTGTCAGCTATATTTTCTCCTGAAATCAGTGAAGTTTCTCACAATTATTGTTGAACCCTTACATTATTATTAATGTTATTGGACATTAAGTTCAATTTGATCAATGAAATAAATGGTTTAACACCAATCTGTTAGCATTAAATTTTGATAAAACTCAATACCTACAATTTAAAACGATGAATAGTTTAACTATTCCAATAAACATCAGTTATAACAATAAATGTATCGGTAATAACACAGAGACAAAATTCTTAGGTATTACTATTGATGATTCCCTGTCTTGGGAAAATCATATTCATGGTCTCGAGGTAAAATTATGTAAAGCCTCCTACACAATTATGACACTTAGACCCTTTGTATCACTGGAATCCTTGAGGATGATTTACTTTGCTTACTTTCACAGCATTATGACGTATGGGTTAATTTTCTGGGGGACCTCTTCTTATAGTGGCAGTATATTTCGACTGCAAAAAAAGGGTAATAAAAATTATCACTAATTCCAGAAAAAAGACTCATGTAGAGAACTGTTTAAGTATTTGGACATATTACCATTATATTCCCAATTCATATTTTCATTATTAACTTTTGTATCAGATAATAGAGAGTTATTTAAAACTAACACAGATTTGCATATTATAAATACCAGAAGCAAAAATAATTTTATTTTCCCACAACGAAGATTGTCTATCTATCAAAAAGGTGTTTATAATATGGGCGTTAAGATTTTTAATCAGCTTCCATCCTATTTGAAAGGCATCATAGATAAAAAGAAACTGTTTAATTGTCATTAAAAAGGTACTTACTAGAAAATTCCTTTTACTCATTGCAGGAGATTTTTAAAAATAAATAAAATGGGATATTCTATTCCCTTTGGTATTTGATATATATATACTTATCACAGTCATTGTGAGTAATTCTATTTTGCCTCTTCTTACTTTTATTTTAAATTTTAGGTTTTTATTAAACTAATTAGAAAGGACCGGTAATCAACGTTACTAAATGTAAAATGTTTTATAGGGCTCTTACTGGCTCATACTTAATATACTTCTATGCTAATCGTATACATTAGTATTTAGTGACCGATTTATTTTCCAGTTCACAATGTATTATGTTGAGTTGTTTTGATTTGTAATTGTATGACTGACGCTTTAATATTCAAAGCATGTGTAGTATATTCTTTGAGTATTTGTTGTATTGTATATCTGTGACTGGTTCTATATCAGACTGGCGACATTTGTAGCCTGTTCTTGATTGATGGAATATTACAATAAACTGAAACTGAATATGCAGAAAAGCTGCTTTTATGTAACATTACTACATTTTTACATTTTAGGGATATTTAACAATAATGTTGGTAAGCAATTTACTATTGAGAGATAATGACAAAAAATGATCAATAAAACGACACCTATGATTGACTAAAGATGATTAAAATACTGAATTTTGGTATAATCATTTCTAAGAAACTGTACATGTCACAAGTAATATCAGCACAAATTATTTAATTTAATTTTTATAGTTTAGTGTATAAAGTGTTTACAATATGTTAACAAGTTCATGAATGCATTCTTCATAAAAAATAAAATATTAATGGGTTTTGTACATCACACTATCTTTTGAAATAAGCAAATTTCTGCATCATCACTGTTCTACACACTTCACCTTACATTTAAGCATAAAAACACCGTTACAATAATGTACGATATACAAGTGGCCTAGGTCATAAGTTTTCAAGTATTCTGGATTCATGAACTGGTAATATGAGAACAGAATTTCTGAAAATTTATGATCAGAGGGATTTGCTGTTATTTGGTGTGCACATAAACATAAAACAGGTAATAGTAAAATAAAACAATAAGCCACATGTAACCAACTTAAGAAAACGTTACAATGTACAAGTTCACATGATACTCAGCACATTTTCAGTAAAATGTTGTATTCCTAATTTTGATCATACCTAGGGTTTGCCTGCCATTTAAGTGTTTGTTGTTAATTTCATAGTCTGAGTACTGATCCACCACACACTCAGTACGCTCTTTAAATTTTGCTATGGTTTCGTTGTTCCACCATTGATGCAGGTTTCCATTTTGGTCATATTCCCTTCCTGAAAAAGAGGAATTCCAAATCTTATACAATATTGCTCTACAATCTGAACAATAAAAAAGGACAATATTTCAAGAAACTTGAGTAAAACTAATGCTGCATTTCTCAGCAGTCACTAGGTGGAATAACTTAACTATGTGTTTTCTGAATTCCTAATTTCCAAGTGTATTAACTTCCATTCATCCCTCTTACTTTCAGTCTAACTTCCACTAGCAGATTGATAACTGGCTCTTGCCAAAAGATTAGTGAGCATACACCTTCTACAGAAAAAAAAAAGTTTTATAACTTCCAAAAGTTCCACTCCCAGCACAAAGATGCAACATAAATGGGGACTGGCATAAAATTGTCTTTAGTACATAAATTAATACAGGTTAAAATGAGATTTGTTGAGATGACATAATGTCCAGAGTGTTCTAGGTGTGTCGGTCAAGTATCATTACCATAGCTCTAAGCAACCAGGAATTAAAACTGCAAATATTCCCACATCATCACAAAAGATTTAACCGTTTCCATAATCTTTATAATGTTATCTGGAATCCAATGTCCTTAACTGGAGATATTATATTTCATGGTGTGACTCAATGCTGGAGCAAGAGAGTTTTCCTAAGAGCCAAACAATTTCAATAACTTACACATGCATGGGTAAAGTTTCAGCTTGTTCCCACAGTATCACTGTTGATGTATGACACAAACTCCGTCCTAAGTGCAAAAATTTATTGTAGTTCTTTCGTCTTTTCTTCAACACTACATGTTTCGGCCATAAAGGCCATCATCAGGTGTATACTCTCACGTAGCTGCTACACTGCACGTAGTTTAAAATTTAAAAAACACCAGCCTTCCCAATTGTTCACTTCTCCATTGCTAACAGGGCCCCCCCCCCAAATCTTTGTCAACCTACAAACATCAATTTGTTTTTTGAGATCTGGCACTTTTAAAATCTTCAATTCAAATTTAAAAATTTTCCTTTACAGTTTTTTAAAATTTTAAAATTTAAAATTCTCAGGGGTACCCGCTCTATGTCTACAGTGCTGCAGCAGATACTTCTTGTTTTCAACACTGTTCAGGTGTTATTCTGTGTAGGTTCCCTGTGTGCGTGCTGCTGCTTATCTTTAATACTTGTAACAGGATGCTTAAATATAATATTATCACTGCTGATGCTGGTTCTATTGCCATTCGAGGATACTTGTTCTGTGAAGGTGGATAACATAACTGTAAGATTCTGTCACTCAAGCCTGAGAGATTAATATTGACAGGATTTCTATAAGTGTCTACATAATTGTAATTATTATGCTGATTTACCTTGGTCATCAAAGGCGTGGGTGAGCTCATGACCCATCACAACACCCATACCACCAAAATTGAGGGACAGGGGGTGCTCAATGTCATAGAATGGAGCCTGTAGGATTCCAGCGGGGAATACAATCTGGTTCTTTGTTGGTGTGTAGTAGGCATTCACTGTTGGGGGAGTCATGCCCCACCTAAACCATATGATATTCTTTGCACTAACTTTATTAAAAGTAAATTCAATATAAACTCTAAGTTCAAACATAATCAGACAAAGTTCATAAAAATGTGCAGAATTTGTTTTGTGTGTTCACATGGTTTCATCAGAAATGGTGTATAGATATATTACTGACAAGGAACTTGGTTTTCTACATTATGACCTCTTAGAAAATATGCAACGGAATTTTTGATGCAACATGTTGTGAGAAGAATATGTATGCTATTTGTACAAAGTCAGTAAGATTTAATTATCTAAGGCACAAGAAATAAAATTGTACCTAGTCTTGTTCACTGGCTGGTCAAGTTTTTCCACATTACGACGTAAGTTATATTGGTTCACACGTAGGTTGTTTTCGAAGTATTCATACTGCCTGATATCTAAATCCTTGTACTTGTCATCCAGTTGGTCAGGGTTAAGAATGTAATTCGGAAAACCTGTAAATGAAATTTTTAAGTTCTTGTGATATTCAGGTTTGCGTAAGACATTTCAAAAATCAATTTCTTTAAAAACAAGGACATCATTTTAAGGACATATTTTGTTCCCCATCATATAACTTCATATAAGAATCCAATAATAAAAATTATATTATACTTCTGCATACAATATTTCCAGTGACTGTTCATGTGTACAAGCAAGGCCTTCTTTCTTATTCTAATGTTTAAAGTCAAATTTGCCAGAAATCCCTTATGGTCAGAATTCCACAAAAGATCTGTAAATTATTGTGTATAATATGTGTAATACATGGAAGGTAGAACCAAGTTTCCATACTTTCAGGATTTCTTCTTGTAATTGACCATCTACACTTAAGACGATATATAATTTTAAATTCACTAGCAGATGCCACTGGCACTGAAGATAGCTGACACATTTTAATGCATCTCCTAGGGAATTTTAAAGCATTTGTTGTGATAAGTGTAAATTGTTAATTATAAGACTTACCTTATTAATACAAGCTATGGATATGAATGCCATCGAATCCACAGAATTTTGTAACACTGTATGACATAACAGTTTCATAGATCTTCATATCTGTACATATACAAATAGGTATGGAGGCATGATCAGATATATGTTCTGACATTTGTACTCAGTGAGTTCTGTTATTTTCAGAATGGAGGATGCCAGAGTCTCGCAATCTGCAAGCCCTGTGCGTTCCATATGACTGGGCATTCTCATAAATTTACAACATGATTAGGGAAGCCTATTTGATTGCAGTCCAAATACCAAGCCTTATACTGAAGTCATTCTCATCACCCATGAAATTAACGCATGAGGAAGGTGGTGTTGTATCATTTTTTATTTCTTTTTTTAGGGGGGGCGTTAACCAGGGCACCATTCATGACAAGTTCATTTTGGTAAACTTTGTAAATAACAGTGCTTGTAAGGACATGTACAAAGACATGCTTTCCCACCTGAAAGAAGCTATCCCCTGAAACTAGCTACTCCACAATGACAATGCACCACCATATTGACCTTTTTTGTCACAGGCATATCTCACCAAAATTTGTACCGCTGTGCTTCCACTCTCTCCCTGCTCTCCAAATTTAATCCCTGCTAATGACTACATGTTTCAAGGAATGAAAGCCCTCTTGAAGGAAAAGAGTCCATCCAGCAAATGGGGTACGAGTGTCTATGATGGTGGTGCTAAGGAAGTTACAGAAAAAGTTTTGCAGGAGTGCTTTCAGTGGGGGTACATCCACTGGCAGAAATATATAGCAATAAAAGAAAACTGCTTCACAGATGGTGTGAAGTAAAATCTGCAGTAAGACAGGCATGCTCAAATGAGCAAAAGCTCACAAGCATTTAATTCTGTTATATAATATCAGAACATATATTGTCATTTTATTGAAAATGATGTCCTGTACTTTTAAGACCATACAGAAACTCACCTATCATATCTGTGATGGCATCTGCTTTACTCTCAGCTGCATCTCGAGTTTCGTTATCCATCCATGTAAGGTTTTTAAGGTTAGCTTTGAATGCATCCCTTACTTCATTGATCATTGCCTCAGCCTGAGCATAATCCAACATAGTCATCAATTGTAAAATCCATATTATTGTAACAAAATAAATGAACACAGCAATACATGAAACATCACATCTGTTTACATTCTTCCAAAATGGATGTAGTAAGAGGCCACAAATATTCTGTTAACATGACATACTCTCACAATTCACAATAATTAATCTTATTCCTATACACAACAGAACAGCTTTAAAACACCATTATAGTACTTTTATATTATGCTTGTTGTGCAATTTAAATGCTTCACTGCCAAGCCTTTGAAGCACAGCTCACATCAATGAACAACATTCTTATTATGTCACTTGCAAGATGTAAAAGCTCTATATTTGTAAAGGGTCAGTCATTGTAACTTCATGCTTTGTTAGCCATTCCATCAATTTTGCTTTTGTAGCAGTTGAGTCTGTGCCTGGTCATGTTGGACTCGATCACTGATGGAGCTGAGCCCTTCTTGAGAAGCTGCCAATTGTGCAGCTACTCAAGAGCTTCCCAGAATTTAATGGAAATCGAAGGTTCATAACCATGTTCACAAGAGCCTTCCACTGGTCCATATCTTGAGCCAAATCAATCCAATCTATGCCATCCCATCCTATCTCTCTACTGTGGGGACAACAATCCCACACTACAATCCACTTTAATATTGTTCACCCACCTACATATTGGTCTTCCTTGTGGTCTCCTTCCTTCTGGCTTTCCCACCAACATCCTACATGCATTCCTTTTTTCCCCCATTTGTGTTACATTCCCTGTCCACCACATCCTCTTTGACTTGAGCATTCTAATTATACTTGGAGAAGAGTACAAGTTATGAAGCTCCTCATTATGCAGTTTTCTCCAACCTCCTGTCTTGTCATCTCTGTTTGGTCCAAATATTCTCCTAAACACCCTGTTCTCAAACACCCTCAATCTATATTCCTCCCTTAATATCAGAGACCATGTTTCACACCCATACAGAACCACAGGAAAAATTATAGTTTTGTATATTCCATTTTCTATGTTTTTGGATAGCAAACTTGAAGACAAAAGGTTCTGGATTGAATGGTAGCAAGCATAACTGGAGTTCAATCTCCTCTTAATTTCCTCCTCAATCAGGTTTTGATTTGTTATAGTCATTCCAAAATATGTGAACTGTGTCACATTTTTTAAATACGTTAGCTTCCTTTATGTCATGATTTTGCCCTACATTTTGATTACAAGACAGCAACATATACTTTTGTACAATACTTCCCTCCTAACTGAATCATACTTGAAGTCTATGAATAGCTAATGTACTGTCTCATCGTACTCCCATTTTTTTCTCCAATATCTGACGAATGCAAAAGATCTGATCTGTAGTTGATCTGTTACGTCGAAACCCACACTGATGATCCCCAATAATTTCATCTATATATGGACTTAACCTTGAAAGAAGAATATTTGACAAAATTTTATATGAAGTTGATAACAGTGATATCCCCGATAATTACTACAGTCAGTTTTGTCACCCTTCTTGTGAACTGGTACAATAATAGACTCCTTCCACTGATCAGGCAAATTTTTCCTTATGCCAAATAGAAGTAATTAGCTTGTGGATCTTAGAACGTAATATTTCGCCTCCTGCATGAATTAAGTTCTGCCGGAATTTAATCGCTACTTGGCGATTTATACCTTTTCAATTTTGCTATAGCACTTTCAATCTTAAAAGGGCTAGGATCAGGTACTAACGGTTCAGCTGTATGGGTTTCTGTCGGCCTAACAGCACTGACCCTATGTACATTCAATAATTGAGAGAAGTAGTTCCTCCACCTATTCAAAATGTTCTGGGGATCTGCAAGCAGATCACCATTCTCATGCTTCACTAAGTTACTGCTAGGTTTGTAACCCCTCTTAAAGTCATTTATTCCTCTATACAGGTTTCTAATGTTCTTGTTCTTACTATTAATTGCAAGCTCATCAGTTTTGTCTTCCAGATATTCCTGAAATTCCTGTTGGTTTCACATCTTATATTGTTCAGATTATCCCCATTTATTTTCACTTGGATCATGTAACCATTGCAATCTAGCTTGCTTTCTTTGGTCTAATATTTTTGAGCATCCTTCATTGAACCATGGCTTATGCTTCTTCAGTTCATAATTACCTAGACTCTCCCTGGCAAAAATTTTTATATTCACTCTAATAGTTTCCCAAGCTTTGTTAACATCCACCTCAGTATCCAAGTTTTCCAAAGCCATGAACCTATTTGAGATTTCAACACGATACTACTCTTTACCTTCTACCTCATTTAATTTCCTGAACCTCTCCATATGAACTCTGTGCATTGTTTGTTTGCCCACTGTCAGTCTTTCCCTAATCTTTGTCACCACCAGGTAGTGGTCAGCATCACAATCTGCTGTCCTGAATGATCGAACATCGGGTATACTTGAATGCCGTCTCCTATCTATCAAAATATGGTCGCTTTGATGGTGTATCTTCCCATCAGGAGATGTCCAAGTAAATTTATGGATGTTATGATGTGGTAATATTGTACTTTTAATGGTAGATTTTTTGATGTGGCAAAGTTTACTACTCTAACTCCATTATCATTTCTAATTTCATACAAACTCTCATTCCCAATTATTGGTTTGAAAATGTCTTCCCTCCCTATTTTGGCACTGAAATCTCCTAACAAAATAAGAGGTACTTTGGGAACCTATCAAATACATGTTCCAGTTCTTCATAGAACCTGTCCTTTATGCCATCTATTTTATCTTCTGTTTGGGCATGAGCATTCATCAAGGTGGGTGCCTTCCCACCACAGCATGCTGCGTCCTCAGATTGCGGATGGAGGAGACGCCCTCCAGGTTTGGAGGGAAGCTGCGAATATATTGAATAAGCGGTCTCGGACAGCCGACAAGGGGTGGTCTTCCAGCTTGGGGGTTGGACGTGGGGCTAACAACTCCTCACCGTAAAAAAATGTTACGAAAATGAACACAAAGCCTCAGACCTGGACGGATTCCTTGGATAAACGACCAAAGCTAAAGAAAATGGACATGAGATTCAGTACGTGGAACATCAGAAGTTTGTATAGGGCAGATTTGCTCAGGGCAGTGGNAGCCGCCGAGTTATAACGTGGCCATCGCCGAAGATAGTTCCGAGCAAGCCTACGAGAGTGTGTTATCCACAGTTCTCCAGTCAGCGGACTACAGTTGGAGTATAGCAGCCGTCGCGGAAAGAAGAACCGGACGTGTGAGTGATTGTGTAATTGGGAGCGTGTGATACAGTGATACCCAGCTCCCCTACTGTAAACGTGTAGACTACTGAAGACAGAGTGAACTGATTTGCGCATAGGGTTATAAGTGTGAAACCCCGCAACAGTGTTAACAGATTAATGCGATTAGGGTTATAAAGTGTGAAACCCCGCAACTGTGTGATAATTAATTGTAGCCGTTATTTGTAGATTGTTAAATAAACCCAATTAACCATCTCTACGGCGTCTTCGGTAACGTAAACACGTTACAATACATTAGATTTAGTGGGAGTACAGGAGGTCAGATGGGACAGAGGTGGCATCGCACCAGGAGGAGATTATACATTTTTCTATGGAAAGGGGAATGAAAATCATGAATTAGGTACAGGTTTTTTCGTACATAAGAGAATCGTATCAGCAGTTAAGAGGGTAGAGTTCATTAGTGATAGGATATCATATATATAATACACACACAAAAATCAGCTCAAAGGTAGAAAAGTGAACAAAAGTGAAGAGATATACACATAAAGGATACAAGTCTGAAGTAACAGGCACACATGGATATATTTTCTTTACATTATTTTGTATTTATTTGGACAAAAGTGAAAATATGTACTCCAAATTTTTCAAGTTTTAAATGACTTTGGCAAATGGAGTGTTGCTGTCTGTTGATGTCTGCCCATAGGGGAAGGAAAGGATTTCTGCCACCATGCAATTAGTGTCTTAATGTGTTTATGGTTCTCTAATTGTGACTGTGTGTGTGTGTGTGTGTCAGGCAAGATCATGTTGTCATGCTTTCTTCATGAAATTTCAAATTGAACACTTACCAGATGTGTATAATTAGGGGATTCATCCTATTTAATGAAAGATATAACACATTAACGCCATACAAGGAATTTACTTCTTGTATTGTGAATGATTACAGCACGAGATTTTAACATGACGATGATGACTGCAGCAGCAGCAAGAACAAGAACAAGAACAAGAACAAGAACAACAACAACATCAACATCAACATCATCATCATCATCATCATCATCATAAGAGATCTGAAGTTCTCAAGAGTCCTTAGAATGGTGACTACAAAGACAAATATCTTTCAGGACATTATGACTAACAGCCTGATGGAAGTTAATGTTTCAAAGGAATGTAATAGCTCAAGCTTCAGAGTTGATAAGCTTGCTGCTTGCTGGCTTGGATTACACTCTTCAAGTTTGAAAACGGAGACAGTACATTTATCTGGAAAAACATCTGCCAGATTGCACAGCATAATATACCAGAAGATAAAAGAGTTTATATGATGTTAATAAGATGATCAACTAAACTCTTTCTCCTCTGATTTGTTTCACTACACACCTATTTCTACTACCATGAAAAATATCAATCATTTTATTCATTCCTTGTAATTCAATCGTTCTTTCATACTCCATGTATTGAAAGTAATATAGAGACTAAATAAAATTACATTCCTACCTACCATTGGTTTGGAATTCCCATGAAATACTTCTCGGACAAACATAGCTCCGATAGCAAATCCAAGTACATTATTGGTGTCCGTAACACAGTACCTCCATGGCTCTTCACCACCTTCAGAGCCAACCAGAGCTTTGCGTAGGCCTTTGTAAGCATCCCGGAAGGCTTTTGAGAGGCATGCAGTTAAGCTGCGCACAGTCTGCCATACCAAATAGTTATTCAGAATGCTGTAAAAATAAAAATGTTATATCAAACCAAAAACAAATGACTGTATAAAATAAACAGCAATCACAGAAATATCAATTACCATATAAGCTTGATACAAGGAAACCCCTAATTTCTCTAATGAGGAAATCAATAACTGTTTTGGCAAAATTGAATATGTCATTTTGTTCCAAGGGCAGTAAACAAAAGGAAGTAACTTCATGTTTATTCTTAGGGACCCTAAAATGAAGTGACCCCTTTTTTATGAGAAATGGTGTTTCTCTCCTTAACTTCAGGCTAATATGATATTTATTATATACAAAATGAATAAAGTTCGTTGACAGCTCTTAATTAGATACACTTTCAATTTGTAAATGCAAAAATGTGAGTTATGATCACATATAAATTATGAATGCTGAAAAGTTTCTTGGACACCACCACCACAAAACTTAATAATTAATGCCAAAAGAAAATTCATTACTGGCATAAACATTGTTGAATTTGTACAGATTTAAAATAATTTGTCAATTTTGAGATACATCAATACATCTTTACATGACTAATGCCATGCCTCTTCATCCAACTAGTTTTCTTACGCTAACTCAAATGGCAATTACACTCATATAAATGTCTCATTTTTTCTGTGTTTTTATCTGGAAGAGTTTGTATATGTACTGGTACAAAAATTCATAAAAAAACGTAAGCATGGATTGCAGATACAAAAATTATGCACCTTATGTATACATATTATTTATGACCTTTTATTTTTTAGAAATGGTCAGATTATTTTCTAGGCTACATTAATACATCCTTGAGAAATTACGGAATATAATCTTAGAAGTATTGTAATAAAATAAGGGCAAATTCATAGGTCACACAAGTTTATGAAAATTATATACAAGTTTATATATTTCATGAGATTATCACAAATATGCATTTTCCACAATNAACTTGTAAAGGATTTTTGACATGTAAATAAATGAAATGAAAAATGAAAAATGAAATATAAATAGAATTTGAACATGTGACTAATACACTTAAGAGTATCAAAATAAAAATAGTAAAATATAAAATTTTCCAGTTCAAAGATGAAGACTCCAACTTAAAAAGACTGAGAATCTGACAATGTGCTGCTTGATCAAGCCTATTGTACACCTTGGGAGGTGATGACAGATGAACATGGAGCAATGGCAGAATGATGATTAAACAGGAGAAACTGAAGAACATCTTCAAAATGTCTACACTTGTATAACTTCACAAAACAAAAATCTCACATGAAGTCACTGGGGAATGAATCCAGACCTCTGAAGTGAGAAACCAGCATTTGACTTAGTAGTCATATTGTATGAAAATGTATTTAGTTCTTTTTGTCTGATTTCAAAGATAGTTTAGGAAAAAATTATTGAAATGATTATTATTCAATTAAAAACTGTTATCTTCTTTAATTAAAAAAGAAAACAAAGATTAAAATATATATATAAAATAACAATTCTGCAATTGCCAAGAAAATATTTGGATCTAAGTGTGATGAAGTATGAGGGCAACTATAAAAAGTTATCCCCTGTGCTTAACTAGTTAAGCACTGTGCCATGAAGGCGTATGGGAGAGTGGATGTATAGATCCACATTTGCTTGACCTCAGCACTAGTCGGAGGTGAGTAGTCAGCTTCATGCCCCGGTCACTTTATCACCAGAGAACGAGCCCCCTCCCCGTCCCATTGGATTGGAGGTTGGGTGGACCCCAGATGCCTGAATGACGTGGAGAAAAGAAAATTCTTGACCCTACTGGGACTTGAACTCTGGTCCCTCGGTAGTCTGGCTCATAGCCATTGGCCATACTGACTGTACAAATCCCTGCTCCATAACAAGGAGCTTCCTTAATTATACAAGCAATTTATCATTGTCAGGATTTTGAAATTAGGCACCTTATAATGTGCCGGACTAATGGCTTTGATGTTAAGACAACAAATGTGTACAGAATTCTGGCCAGCATAGAAGACTGAATATAGCATATAGCATTAAGATGGAACCTTAGGGAGAGAGGTGTGTAGGTTGGTGGTGGTTGAAACTGATTGCAATTGATTAATTAAAGAATGTGTACAATATTAATTCACCTTTCTTAAATGAAAAATATTAGAATTATGTTGTATTAAGTAGCATTATAAAGAACAGAAAAAGAACTTTGTACCATTTACTTTTATATTAATGTGGTATGGTAATTCTGTTAGATGTACAGAAGGAGATATAACTAAGTAGTTACAAGGCATAGAAAGATATTTTATGTGGTATACATTACACTGATTTCTTGTGTCAATGATTGTACTCACATTTTCCCTTCTGTTGTGTGGGTATAATTTGTAACAATTGCTGACAGTTTTGAAAGATACTCAGGAGCATATACTACAACCATCTCTTTTCCTGTCACTTTCCTCTTTGTTGGACTCATTGCATCTTGGAAGTATTTCTGCCATGACATCTGCATTACCAAAAGGAGACACAGAAATCAGTTTAACTCGTTAAATTACTTGTACAGCATGCTGAAAAATAAATTTTATCAGAGTACAATATCAACTAACAGAGAAGTGATACCTAAAGAAACAGAAATATATGGTATAAAACACAAAATTTGCTGCATGGATATGCTGCCATCTTGATAATTTTCTGGAAGACCCAAAACCATTCAAACATGCCTTTACATAAACAGTTGCTTACAACAAAAAAATGTATCCTCCATTTCTTTCCCCTTTGTGCTTTTATGAACAGTAATATGTGGTATGATGAAACAACATAAAAAACACCATAGACAGTCATACAATTTTCAATCAAACATTTCTATGAATTGCCTGCATTGTTGTTACTTTACTTGAAACATTAAGGAAATCTTATAAGAAAATGGTTAATTGAAGTCCATAACATCGATTTCAGGTCTGATCTGAAATGTATATAAAATAATATCAATTTTGTTTTAACGTTTATGCTTCTAAGGTGTGACAAATAATTCCACCATTTCTTTCATCTTACAGAATTTCTGCATTTTCTCATAGTAGAGACTCATCAGCTTGTCAATGTCAATGTCACTCTCTCATTTCAATATTCATCTGCATAATAAACTCAAATTCTGGCCAGAAGGTTTTCTTCTCATGTTCAATACTTGATTAAGGAAGAAATATATTGCATGCCCATGTGAGAACACCAGTCAAGATTCAGAACTAACATGCATAACCTTTTGAAATAAGTTGATCTTTAGTTATCTTTTACACTCCCTCCCGCCTGAACTACTACCAACACAATTAATCTAACATTGTGGTAGCCATATTGTGACATGTTGCGCAAAGCCGAGCCCCTCCCCACACCAGCAGTGACGCGGCGGGTGAGTCAGCGCTCCCCTCCCACCCCTCAGCGGTAACGTAACGCTCGCATAATAGGCGAGTAATCACCCCGCATCCTGGCAGCCATGCGCGGTGACGTCACGAGCGGAGCCGAAGATAGCCGAGCCCCGTAACCGGGTAACTATGCAAGGCGAATCAACAGCGGTGACGTAGCCGGACAGCGTGGCTAGCAACAAGGGTGCCTATTACGTGGCCGTATTGTCCGATCGAGGCTACATAGGGAGAAGCGAAGGCTATTCACAGTCAGTTGTACTGTGACAGCCACCGAGTTGTACTGTAA